TTCTTGCACAACCTGCTTGTTTCGTACTTCATGTTCTTCAATAGGTTGTTTAACAAGACTGTTCTGGTTATCTTCACATTTCCAACCATTTTGCCCACTGCTTTACAGAACACCCTTTGTTCATTATTCTCATACGCTATTATTGTAGTAGGCATATGCTTTTTAATCACATTAATGTGATCAGTATTGATGTTACCATGCGATACAGTCAGTATCAGTAAATCAGATGTTCGTGTGGCATAGCCCATTTCAACCAGATTGGATTCTGAACTAACGAATTCATTAGTGATGAAATTGCACTGTGGTTTGATCTGTAAATCAATTCTTTCTGATAGGTGCACTATTGATATAACTCTGTATCCAGTTGATTTGTATATTCTGTTTTCATTGCTCTGCTTGCTCTTGCTTATCATCTGCTTCTGGACTTTAAGTGCATTTTGCTGGGCTACTCTTAGTTTGGTCATTTTGGGATAAAAATTGTGAAAATATTTGGGGATGACAAAGGAAATACAGGAAAAGAAAGTGCTCAGCAAAACACTAAGGAATCTCAAGTTCATGCAGAAGAAGGAGATTAAGGAGGAAATACCAGAAGAGGAAAGAACATTTTCGTGGTATGCAAATCACTATTTCAACAAAATAAACAAATGACAAATGTAGCAGAAAACAGCCAATCAATTGATTTAGTGTTGTTGAAAAGTGCCTATATTCTAGGTTCCTAAGAAGCCCTATCCTTGTGAATAAACCCTTCACTCTACAAGATGCTTTCAACAATTGTGATCGTGTGACTCCTCGTCTTCATCCTTTTCAATCCAAGCCCCATATTTTTTTACCTTTTTATGGCAATTATTCATTCTAGCATTCTTATTACCATATCCAAATGCCTTACTGGCATATACCGTAGTTAACATTATCACTATAATCACCGCCAGAGTAATGTACTTCATAGTAATTCGTCGTCTATAACAATATTTTGACATAAGGGAGTAACAATATCAGAATAATTATCATAAAAAATGACAGTTACTCCCTTATACTTAAAATATTAATGTGATCAGTCTATTTCCTATTGATTTGTGGTTTTATGTAGACACCACCTCTATTCATTACGGCTATTCGTCCTTGTTTTTTGTTTCTAGTCACCTCCAAATAGATTCGTTTCCTGTATTCATCTTTCTCATACATCCCAAACATCTTGTTAAATCGCATTAGTTCAATCTTAATCGTCCTCTTATCACCTCTACTATATATTTCATCACCTATTATTATCTCATCAATTCCAAAATAATCAAATAAATGTGCTAATCTTGTTCTGCTACTGAATCTACATAAATAATTTGGCACTCCACACGTATTACATTCCTGATTTCGTCTACCTAGTCCTATTTTCATCACTGATTGGTGTATGAAGTAGTTAGAGTTGTTATAGTATGATAGAACCATCATAGATGCCACTATTGAATTCGTAGTACAAACTGATGGAATTGTGTTATTCAGAAATGTGGTTGATTTGATGTAGTTCAATGGAATAATCTGGAATCTACTAGCTCTATGCAGTGCCAGATGGTACATCAACAACGTGTTATCAGACATCCTCAAACCCAAGTCAACCTGATTCAGATCAATTTGGTTGAATTCAGCCCATTTACAATTCTCAATTTCAATCTGCCTCATTTCATTCAGTCCTCCTTCTGAATACTCTCCCACCTTATTACCCATCTCATCCCTCATTGCTTCTGTGTTCCAGTCACTCACCGCATTCTGTGCCCAAACTAAGCAGTGTTCAAAATTCACTGGTTTCTCTTTGATTGTGCAAATTGGATACGTCACAGCCACTTTCTTAGGAAGACAGTCAAAGCATTCACTGCTGAAGTCGTAACTTTACCCAAGCCATCCGCCAGATGCACCATCAATGAGTCTAGTTCGTGATAGGTAGCACATCTTGTTGACATGTGACCTGACTCTGTCACTATCAAGACAGTTGAATACAACTCCAAATCCCCTATAAAACTCAATTGAGTCAACTTCCTCAATTTTTGAACAAAAATAGGCGCAATTAACTTTGCTAGCGAGTCTCTGTGACTTGCTCTTCCCAATGTCATCCCTGGTATAATAAAACTGCCTATTCAGATTAGTCAAATCAATTGTATCAAAATCAACCAGAGTCAGCTGGAATCCACCTGTTTGCGAGAGTATTTTGACCAATTCGCAGCCAAGTCCCCCACAGCCCACGACCAATGCACTGGTCTGACCACTCGTCTTCCTTGAATTCCTACATGCCAAAACCATGGTAAAAATTCCAGAATATTCTCTTATCAAGTTGCCACTGATTAAATCAAATTCAAACAACTCGTCTCGTTTTAATCACAAAATATTTTGCCTCGCTCTTTTTTGAAAAATCTTTTCAGGTTCCCCTGTTTTGTGTGTTTTATAATTTGACACATTTCACTCCTTTTTGGTTGAATGTCGCTTGTTATCGATGTAGAATACGCTGATTTCCCCCTTATCGGTCGATATCTTCATTCTGTAACTCCCCTTCTCATATTTCGGGTATTCTATGGATGTCTCGTCTGGTGCCTTGATTGCAAAGAGCAGCTTGTCATTAAGTTGCTTAACTGATTTGATATCAGTATAGCTCACAAATGCATTTTCCAGGTTGTCTCGACACGCTGAAATGTCCTGCAAATCCCTGTTCAACTCCTCTATCTCCTGCTCAATCGGATTGAGTGGCACACAATCAGCTTGCCGCCGCTCACTTCCGTCCATGATGTTCTCAGCATTCTCCTTCTCAATTTCCTGAATAATTCGATCACATCGACTCGTGTCAAAAATGCATTCGGCATTTCCTCCAATCCATTTCACTGAGTTCACGTTCCATTTCGTAATAAATCGATTGATTCAAGCACATTCGTGATGTCGTAGACTCTTCGTTTGACCACATTCAGCATGGATGCAGCCGTGGTGATGCTGATTGCGTGGTCAGGAGACTCCCAGAGCAGCTTCACGAACCTCTTGGTCAGTGAATAGAGGCTGTTTTCGTCTCGTCTTGAACTTGTAGGTGCTTCATGTGCTTTCATAGGGTAAAAATGCTACAAATTGTGTCAGTAATTTGTTAGTGAAATGTCACCATTTTGCAGAAGCAATGAAAATGTTTTCAAAATGCCCATGCTTGAATGTTCGCTCTACGGAGTAGCAAGCAGCACGGTAGACTACAGCAACGAGTATAAACACAGGAGATACACCAGAGTTGAGCACATATATAAGAGAGGAGACACTCACATATATGTGCACGTAGATGAAGATAGGAAGAAGCACAGGCTGATTTATTACAGTAAGGTGGATAGAAACAAGCAGAGGACGTGTTTGGCGTTGAATATGGAACTGTTTGAGACAAATGAAGACATATTTCATGTATTAGAAATAAACAAGTTTACCAGAATAAGCATAATGGAGTGTGAAATAGAGGAATTCAGAATAAGTGGATACAGGGTAGAAATTAACAAGGAGAATGGATCAGAGGAGGCCATGATCAAGGCATATTGCTATGTTGATGATGTGATAGAAGGAGAAGAATTGCTTGAGAATGTTTACACTGACCTGGGTATAAAAATGGTCTATTCAACTGAGATGTTTATGAAATGAGTTGGTGTTAGGAATTGCTACTGTTACCTCTTACACTCTCAATACGTCAAAATCAAACTGCCTTAATTTCATTATTGAATAAATAGTCAAAATTTACCCATGGCTTTTGGAATCACAGCAAAAAAGCAGAGTAAATTCCACGACTGGTACACTCAGGTTGTAATCAACGCGGAACTCTTAGACTACTACGACATCAGAGGGTGCTTCATAATGCGTCCAAATGGAATGCGAATCTGGAAATGCATCAGGGACTACTTTGATGAGAAGATTGGGGAAATGGGGGTAGAAGAGGCCTATTTTCCAATGCTCGTAACAAAAGAGAACATTGAGAAGGAGAAGAACCATTTGGCCAACTTCAACCCAGAATTGGCGTGGATCACCCGGTGTGGAGAGACTGAACTCGATCAACCTGTTGCAATACGTCCAACTTCAGAAACAATCATTTATCCAGCAATGAGCAAATGGCTTACGATACACAGGGACTTGCCTATGAAAATAAATCAGTGGTGCTCTGTTCTGAGATGGGAGGTGAAGAGCACCCTACCATTCATCAGAGGACGAGAGTTCTTGTGGCAGGAAGGACACACCGCCTACTACGGCAAGAAGGATGCTGAGGAAGAATGTAGAGAAATATTGGAGATTTATGCGCATATATATGAGAAATTATTGGCAATTCCAGTAGTAAGGGGAATAAAGAGCAAGAATGAGACATTTGGTGGGGCAGAATACACCCTGACAATTGAGGCATTTATTCCAGGAACAGGAAAGGGTGTTCAGGCTGCTACGTCTCACCATTTGGGTCAGAACTTCGCAAAGATGTTTGAAATAAAGGTACAGGACGATGTGAAGCAAGAACGACTGGTCTACCAGAACTGTTGGGGACTGACAACCAGATCCATTGGTATTGCAACAATGATCCATTCAGACGATACGGGATTCATGTGTGGTCCAAGAGTGGCAAACATTCAGGTTGTGATAATTCTTTGTGGAATCACCTCAAAGAAAGAAGAAGAGGAAGTCAGTAAGCTTAAAAAATACGCTTATTTTGTTGAAGAAAAATTGAAGGAGCATAAAATAAGAGTTCATGTTGACATAAAAGAGGGACAAACAGCAGGATTCAAATTCAACCATTGGGAACTGATGGGTGTTCCAATCAGACTGGAAATTGGCTTTAGGGACATGGAGAAGAATGAGGTGTGCTGTGCAAGAAGAGATTTGGGTAAAAACAGGAAACAACTTAAGGTTGATAATTTGGTAAAGGAGGTTCAGGCTGAAATGGATCAAATGCACATGAATTTGTACGAAAAGGCAAAGGCTGAAAGAGATCTAAGAACCAAACAAGTTGACACATTTGACGAGCTTCTTGCTGAATTGAACAACAAGAATGTTGTTTTGGCACCGTGGTGCAATAATTCGGAATGTGAGGATGAAATAGGTGAAAGAACGACAATTCGTGAAAACGATGAAGTTGTAACACAGGGTGGAAAAACACTTTGCATCCCATTTGAGAAACCAAGTTCAGCTGGAAAGATGTGTGTTAACTGCAATAAGTGTGCAGAGACATACGTATTGATTGGTAGGAGCTATTGATCGAGTCTCTCTATCCACACAATTGGCTTGATATAGTTATTGATCACAATTCTGTTCAAATTAAACATTTGATCACCCTTAATGGAAAAGGAAGAACCAGAAAACACATTTGAAGTAGAAGAAGAGCAAAATGATAAGAAGAAGAGAAAGAAGACTATCATCATCGGAATAAGTGCAGTGATATTTGTGACACTGATAATCTTTGTGATATTGCTGGCAGCTGGATCAAAAAAGAAGAAAGAAGCAGCTGAGAATAAAGTGCAAGTGAAGAAGAAGGAAAAGAAATCAAAGAAGCCAAAACCAAAGAAGATGAAGACACCCAAATCACTGACACCACAAACGGATCCAGTTAATCCCCAACAAGAGTACGCCTACGAATATGGTGATGATGATCAAAATTTGGATTATAGGGATAATTTTGAGCCAGGATGGCAGATTGACCGTGGATTTGTGGGAGAAAAGGTCATTGAAGCCCCGCCTGAAAATCGAGAAAACGCGCTACAACGAATATATGGTGGTGTTTTTAAGGCCGTCTATAATTACGCTAACTATCGCAACCTCTACGTGTTCACTGAATTGGGTGACGTTGTCAAAGAAACCAGACGTAAAAGCGCACAAGATACCGCAAAGATCGTAAATAATCAGCTGAAGAAAAATGACAATTCGGCAATGAACAAGGCCATTCACCTGCTCCAGGTAGGCGTGTATCACGGCTGTTCAACAAAGGAAGATTTGGAGGACATCAACAGTGACGCACAGTTCTCTCTACCAATTTCATACTTGTTTGGTTCTGGACAGGGCACTTTTATTTTACTGCTCTCTAGCAGTGAGCTAAACATTGATACGATACTCAAGGCGTATACAGTTGATAGGGCGGGACCAGTAAACGAAAGACTAGAAACTGAGGCAAAAATACTCAAGGAAATCAGAAAGGAGCAGCCACATAATATCCTCTCTGTCTACTACATTGGCGTATATGAACTTACATACGAGACAACCACGTACAAGTATTCTGTCGCAGCATTGGAGTACGCCCAATACGATATCTCAGTGATCAACCTAAAAAGCTCAAAAGTTGATTCACGATACTTCACCGATGCACAATGGAAAAACTTCGAAAACGGCCTACGAACATTGGCCAAAGACATTTTGACTGCATTTGTCTGGCTACACAAGAAGGACTTTGTCTACATGAATCTGACACTGAACAATGTCAAGGCAATCAAGAACAGATACGGCTACGAATTCAGGTTGTGGGGATTTGAGAATGCGTTTGAAATAAAGAAATGTGGCGTTGGTGAAAAAATAAAAGATGATATGTCAATCAATCCTAGACTGAGATACATCTGTAACCAGGACAACAAAATGATTGGATCATTCACTGATATCTTCTCACTAGGAACAATGATGAGCTTATTAGGGGGAGTCAAGGACCCAACCAATTTTGAACAAATCATCGATGCAGCCAATATCCAGAACACTGAACCAAATGACATCTACGACTGCGCATTCAACAACAAACTGTCGTTGAATTGCCGTGATTTCATTGACAAATGCCTGGAAAAGAATGCCAATGGGAGACCAGATGCAAAAACCCACCTCAATCACCCATTCATCACAGGTGATACCGTAGACGAATACAGTGAGGACAGAAAGGCGTATTTGGGAGATGAATAGTTAAATAGTGTGGGAGTATTTGGATAAATAGTAGAAGACTAAGCTACTCTTAAAATGTTGTGCTCTATGAGCACTGTTGTTGATTTGGATTAAATCATGTGCTCATTAGAAACATGAAACGCGCCAATTGGGGTAAAAAAGAGAATATTGAAGTATGGTGTAATATAAAAGACTATTTATATTAAAGAATATACCGTAGTTGATACCGACGTAAACCTACTTTAAGAAGAATATGTGGTACAAATTGTGAGACATATCGTATTCCATAGGATGTAAGCAGCTATTAACTAACAGAATCACGGTCTCACTCCAATCTCCAAAGAAACCAACTTGAAAAACAAAGTGCAAATTTAATATATTGATTTTCGATGAAATTAATAATTGTATCCCAGTAATTTACTTGTTTAGAGCTGTTGACTGCACTTTTCACCCGAATATCCAGCAGTTGCAATTAAAGCTGTCATGCTACACCTTGATCATTTTTCTCAATTTTTTGGGCTCATAATGTTCAACAACTTCCTTGTATTGCTCAATGTCATATACGCGCCGCCTAAGAAAAAGCACACAGGCAATAAGGGAGGTAATCGGGCTCGTTCCACTTCTCTTTCTATTACAAATCAAACGGATGCGAACAAGGATGGACAAGCTACTCAACGATCATCGTCAGTTCCAACTAGTCTCTTAGCATCAGGTAATGCACAATCAGATCAAGAAGGAAGATACAGTTCATTTGACACAGACTCATCTGATGATGATGAACCATGTTCTAAAGAATCATATAAATATGCAATGCCATACACAAGTCAAGGAGCTATGTCAGATCCATGCCCAATGGACACTGAAACCAATGGTAGACAGACCACATCAAAGAATACAGCTGGAAATGCACAAACTGCACCAAATAAAAGAGGTGGAACAGTATTCCCTGAAAACAATAATAGATGAGTGTAACCAAATGAGTAAAACATTATGGCCAATACCAGTTTACTACTTCAATTGCCACTAAATACCCCACGTATTATCTCCATCTTCTCCTTCTTGATTCCATTCATTTCAACTGCTCCACACTTCTCAATCAGTCTCCTTCCATCTCCCTGAATCAGCCTACAGAGGTATTCAACTGCTTCCACCGGTATTTCATCAACCAGAAATGCCTCATAGATCATTGGTGGAACAGACTGCTCATTTGATCCAATCAGTCTACGAACTAATCCACCAATTTGATCATCGTTGTGGTGGATGAGAAGGTGGCGTGAGAATGACCTGATTCGTAGCACGTTCTTGGCAATGAGACTGTGGATCAGGAGCATCCCATTCAATTTGATGGTGGCATCAGAGAGCAGGCTGAAGAGGACGTCTGTTTCAATTGCACTGCTGTAGTAGATGACAATGTCGCCTAGGAACGAAACAAGGGTGTTTCTGAGGATTGGAGACTGGTTTTGATCAAACAGGTTGATCAGATATGGATCAGTGAAATATTGATCAAAAATCAGGCGGGATGAGATGATGCATTTTGCAAGTGCGACATTTGCGGCGTAGCAGACGGCACTGTTCTTGGAGTGGCATTCTTCTACCACAAACGGAATCAGTGGGCCAAGGACACCTCGATCACCATTCAGAATTTCGTGCTCTTTTTGGTGATCAAAGAAGTCGGTGATCTCCTCGTTTCCCTGGGCCCTGAGGAGATCGCACAAGTCGCGGTAGCGGAGAGTGGCACTGTCTGCGAGGGAGTTTCGACGCTGCTTTTTTGGGGCTGATTCGGGTGGCTCTGGTCCAACTCTGCTTTTTAGGTCAATTCGCCTCTGTTTGTTATTTTGATCAATATTCTGATCAATATTCTGATCCAGCACATCCACCTTTATTCTCCTCTCAATCAGTTCAATGAATGAGTATTGTTCAATGCAAACAGAGCCAATTGCATCAAGCAATTTCGTCTTAGACCGTGACTTAGCAATGGCCCTGATCAGTCTGACTGCATTTACATCTGGCCCAGTTGATGCCCTATAAAACAGTTTGACCGTGTTTGGTATCAGATTTGGCTCATTGAATCCCATTTTGATCAGGTTTCTGATCAGTAATGAAAAGAGGGGATTATCGTGTTTACGTCGACCAGAAAGACGGCCTAGAACAACCAGGGTGTTGTTGTACATCTCAATGTTTCTGGTTAGGGCTGGCAGACCCCGTGATTCAAAGACAGCAGTTCCAGACTGATCAAGCAGACTGGCACCTGCTTCCCAGCTGATCTTGTACTGATTCATGTGACGTAGGACGTAGAGTGATTCAAAGAGACCACGGCCCTCTTTGATGTTTGAGAGAAGTCGCCCTGGGCTCAATTCCAGGTGTGGAATCACGTCTTCAAATGCGCGATTGTTTACGAACTCAAATAGCACATTCTCCTTCTTGTTGATTATTTCACGAAATGTTCTGATTACGTCATCACGGTGCTCCTCGACGTAGACGAAGCTGATCATTTTGCCAACAGCTGCCTCTGCCCCAGGAATACCCTGCAAATAGGCAATTTTGATGAATACGAAGACATCAAGTGTATCAGTCTTAAGGGCTGCATCAAGAAGAGCAGATGCACGATCAAGGCCAAGGCGGATGCACTCTCTGATTTCACTGCCTGTCTCCTTTGAGTCAGTCAGACAGGCTGAATTCAATGCAACCTGGGCCAAAATGGAAATGGCCTTCTTTCTGACCAGAACTGTTTTATCACCAACTCGATCTATGATTCCAAGCAGAACCAGTTTGATTTGGTTGTTTAGAACAGCAGCATTCTTGAATAGGCTGCTGAGGGCACTGATGGCCCTGGCTCTGACGTAGATGCTTTTGTCATGGAGACGCTCCACAATCTGATCAGTTAATATTGAGATATTTTCTGTATTTTCAGCCTGTCTGAATTCAATAATCAGTTTTTCAGCAATATCAATGTAGCAGCAACGAAGAAGGTGCGATTCAGAGCAGAGGAGGCATTCGAAGTGGCGGAAGTGGACGAAGTATTTGGCACTGAGCTGTGGGAGAATCAGAGCAAGGTTTCTGGCAATTTGGCCATTGATTTCAGGAAGAGAGGCCCTGATGAATTCTTCTGTTAAATTGGGCGTAGATGCAAGAATGTCCAAAACAACGGCACTGATGGTGGTTGAGGCTGATTCGAGCATTCTGATCAGAACAGGAGCATTGATTCCAGTGGCAGCAACCTTCTCAAGGAGACTGGTTCGTTCAAGGGTGCCCAATGCCTTATGAAACTTCTCTAGAGCAAAAAGAAGCACTTCTTGGTCTGAGACTCCGTCAACGAGAACACTGGCAACTGCATCGATGTCAAACTCCTTCTTGTTCTCTCCAACTCTGCCCAGAAACAGCAGCAAATATTTTGACAACAACTTTTTGTTTTTTGTGTTCTTCAGGAGCAAATCCAGCACTCTTCCGCTGTTATCTTTGTCCATTCCCTTGATCATCTCCTTGTGATCGTCACACTCCTCTTCAAATGCCATAGAACTAAATTTACGAATCAGGCGATCTGTCATTTTATGCTCTGGGATATTTATTCCAATAAATGTTTCTTCTTTCTATTTAGTTCACTCTTCTAGTTCAAGTACTTCAATAGCAGGAATCCAATTGCATTCAATCCAACCAGTCCACCCATTGTCAACAGGTATAGCAGTATCCTTGAACTGAATATGCTGAATAATACGTATTTCAGTATGACTCCCTTAAATGCCCGACTCTCGTAGTCTGCCACTTCCTTGTAGTTTGCAGCCAGCATTGCCAACAGTGCTCCCACCATAAATCCCTTTACAATCAGAACAGCCAGGTTTATCGTAATTGACTTGTACTTCCTGAATATTATTGCAAACTTGTAGAGAAGCAGAAGCCCAAATAGCTCAAATGACCTAAACAGGAGACAGAACGCCCACAACTTGAGCGTATACGCCGGATATATCCTGTTGAGGAGTACTCCCAATGCGACCATATTTGTAACCAGTTCAATAAGCGTAACTCCCATTCTGACCAAATAGTATCCTACCAGAAATGTGTGTTTTTTGTAGAAGTCCTGCTTGAGCTCCCTCCTTCCCAGAACTGCTGCTACGGCAGACAGATTTATGTTGAATCCGGTGAGAACGAAGACCCTGAGCAGTAGAATTGGGTATACCATCACGACGAACAGTGGATAGAGCACCTCGTCCTTGTTCTTGATTGGCTCGACTGGAAGCAGCCCACTGTCCCGCACCTGCTTCAGCCGAGTCACTGTCTCCGTCCAAACTGCCTGAAGCAGCCCGAAGTTTCCAGTTGCACTTGATCCGAAATATTCTGTCAAATTGAGCTGCTTGAATCCCAGGCGATACCAGGCGACCAGAAGCAAAAAGAGAATTTCAGGTAGAAAAATGTTGAAGCCCGCCTGTCTCAGGGCAAACTCCTTTTTGGCGAAGTAGCTGACGTAGAAGATGAGCATCTTCAGCGGATTCATCCTTCTCTGGGCAACTCGCTTCCTGTTCATGACGTCATCGCCTGTTGCCAAATACGGACTCAACTCAGTCCCAGTCTTGTGCTTGAAGTACTCGTCAGCGAGAAACGTGATGAGTCCTGCGTTTCTGGCTGGATTCCTCCTGTCGACGTGGACCATCTCGTTGACGATTGCACTCGTTGACTCCGCCTGGTTGTACTTGAACGGCTTCCCGTACTCGTTTGAGAAGAGAATCGACTTCTCTGCGAAATACTTCTTGATGTTCTGGTAGGTGCCCTGGTAGAAGGTGCATCCTCGAGACATGAGGATGATTCGATCGAAGTCAGCGAGATACTTTGAGGATGCCTCGTCCACGGCGGTGACCACGGTGGTGCCGTACTCGTTGCATAGGCGCCTTAGGACACGAAGTGTCTCCCTGACTACCACTGGGTCTGTTCCACCCAGGTGAACCAGAACAACCCTCTTTCTCAGTATCTCGCATTCAGCCACCTTCACAACCAGTTTCTGGGAGGAGGTCAGCTCGCTGATTCGCTTATCAGCCGCCTCAACCAGCACCGACTCGTAGTAGCCGCGGATGTCCCTATCGAATCCATCGCTCATTTCGTACACGAATTTGATGTGGTCCCTGACAGTCAGGTCGCTTACGAAGTTCTCTGTGTTTCTGACGTATCCAACGAATGACCGCTCCTGGTGCTCTGCCCCGTTGAACTCGACTCTGCTTCCAAACATCACCTCCATTGACGGAGGCGTGTTGCCGCTGATTGCGTCCAGCACGGCCCCCTTTCCACACTTTCTCTGCCCCACAGTTCCAGTCACTGTCCCAGGCTGGCAGACTCCATCGCAGTCGACTGTCTTGTACTGTCCCGCTGCTCTGATGAACAGGCTGCTCCAGGAGACTGTGACCTGGTCCACCTTGTCCTGGGGTGGCTCCTTCATCCGATCAAGCAAATTGACCTTTATCTGACCAGAATCCATAAGGAGAAAGGAGTGCCACTTTTGTATCATAAAGGGTGTAATTGTAGTAATAGTAGTGTAAGTGATAATGGTAGTGGTAATTATAGTAATATCACAAAAAGTGTCAAACTTATCAAGTAGACTATATGAGAAGTAGTTTTGCCTGAACAGTGATTATTAACAGTGATTATTAATAGGGGTAGTTAGCGTGATTAATNTGATGAACAGGCTGCTCCAGGAGACTGTGACCTGGTCCACCTTGTCCTGGGGTGGCTCCTTCATCCGATCAAGCAAATTGACCTTTATCTGACCAGAATCCATAAGGAGAAAGGAGTGCCACTTTTGTATCATAAAGGGTGTAATTGTAGTAATAGTAGTGTAAGTGATAATGGTAGTGGTAATTATAGTAATATCACAAAAAGTGTCAAACTTATCAAGTAGACTATATGAGAAGTAGTTTTGCCTGAACAGTGATTATTAACAGTGATTATTAATAGGGGTAGTTAGCGTGATTAATAATAGGGGGTAGTTAGTGTGATTATTAATAGGGTAGTTAGTGTGATTAATGTCACCTACTATCACTACCAATATTCTATTCTACTACTAATACTAGTCTACCAATATTCTATTCTACTACCATCACTACCATCACTACCATCACTACCACCCTACCATTACTACCACCACTCTATAGTATTTATTATTGTATATCATCTGTTATCAATTATTTCTAGAATGGTCTCAACGAGATGTGCGCATCGTGATGGGCTCTGTACAACATTCTCAGCCACGATGTCTGGCTCAAAGTGTGGTGCATGCACCCACTTGTTCCTTGCTGCCCAAATGAACTTCTCAAACCGCTCTTCCAGGTCCATCTGAAACAGGTCGTGCTCGTCTCGCGTGTATCTCGAACACGTATCCCGCTTGTATCGTAGTGCCCGTGTCGCACNACTACCATCACTACCACCCTACCATTACTACCACCACTCTATAGTATTTATTATTGTATATCATCTGTTATCAATTATTTCTAGAATGGTCTCAACGAGATGTGCGCATCGTGATGGGCTCTGTACAACATTCTCAGCCACGATGTCTGGCTCAAAGTGTGGTGCATGCACCCACTTGTTCCTTGCTGCCCAAATGAACTTCTCAAACCGCTCTTCCAGGTCCATCTGAAACAGGTCGTGCTCGTCTCGCGTGTATCTCGAACACGTATCCCGCTTGTATCGTAGTGCCCGTGTCGCACTCTTGTCCATCTTCAGCAGCACCTTCGTGTTCTGGCAGAGGTGGAACCCGTGCTCGTTCTCCTTCAGGGAGTACGGGTTCGATTCAGGCGGAGCCCACGCCTCCATCCTGGCCGTGTCGAACGAGTACTTCGCAAACAGGTTGAAGGCGTAGAGCCCCTCCACGATGACGATCTCAGGCTGCGTGTTTGCCACGTAGAAGACCCTGAACTTCTGCGAAATGAAGTCGAAGCTGCACATTTTTATCATCTCGTCCTTGTTCAGGTAGCCCTGGATGCACTCGGCCAGGCTCTCCCAGTCGAAGGCAGCGGGGTTGTCGAAGTCGTAGTCCTTGGCACGCTGCTCGAGGTGCCTGAAGGCGCGGCGGGCGTAGAAGTCGTCAAGGGGTATCAGCGCAACGCGCTTGCGCTTCTCGATGCGACGCAGGACCATCTCGGCCACGGTCGTCTTTCCAGAGCACGTTGCGCCCTGGATCAGAATGAATGTGATTCCAGTGACTCCTGAGAATGTTTTCATAGGCAATTGGGGCATTGTCAGGTAACGAATGAAATTGATCATCAGAATCTGGTTGTGGTGCACTTGAAAACGGGGCTGAATCCGACCAATTTGGCCACTTCTGCCACTCTGAATCCATGGGACGATTTTGCTCTGATAAAATTTACACCCTGAATAATTTAATTGATCATTTTGCCACGAATGACGTCAATTGCACTTCTGGTCGCACTCTCGTTGTACGATCCGCCTAGGACAGTCACGTCAGCCCTGTTTTCATCCGTGTAGATCCATTTCTGGGCTGCTGGCCAGACCAAATCCACCTTCTTCTCAGTCAGCTCGTCACACCCCCGTGACCGTGACTCCTGGTCTCGTCTCATCCTCACCTCCCTCATCTTCCTCTCCTCAATCACCAGCAGAATCCGAACAGTCTCAAGCTGCCAGTAGCAGTCGCCATTTGGAACCAGCTCAGTCACGTTATCAGCTGGCTTCCTGTACACGTCCATCAGATCAGTATTAAATATGCGCCTATTGAAGAGGTTGAACGAGTAGAGGCCCTCTACTACGACCAGTTCAGGCCTACTGTTTACCACGGTGTATTCATCGACCTGAAGGGTGTTGTAGTCGTAGTTGAACATCCTGATGACGTCATCGCAGTTGACGTATCCATCGAGTGTCTTTCTGAGACTGTTCCAGTCGAATGCCGCTGGATTGTCGAAGTCGTAGTCTCCTGCTTCACAGTAGGCGAAGTTCTCCTCCTTGTAGTAGCAGTCGAGGGAGATCGAGGCAATTCGGAATCCAAGGAGACTCTTCTTCAGAAGTGTAGTGAAAGTTGTTTTACCAGCACATGAACAGCCCTGAACCAGAACGAAGAGTGGTGCCCTACCATTTCCCATAAGTGGGATAAAATACAGTGAAATATAATATAGTAAAGTGTAGTG